AATCAAAATGCATTTTGATTCGTTCTTGATTGAGTCCAAGGAAGTGAAGAAAAGATGAAGGTACATCGGTTTTAATATCCACCAGGCCTCTTACAGAGATTGGAGCAAAAGGGAGGATCCCACCAGTTTCAGTTTACTTCACAACTCTGGATTTTGCACCTGCAGAATGTGACCCTGAATAGTTCAAACCCAGGACAGAAATACCATTTATTATGTGATTCCAGCGAGCTGCCTCCATCATGAAGGTGCTTTCTAGATAAAATTGATTGAAATAAAACAAAGTTTTGACATAGCAAACCAAAGGGAATCTGTTATTTTTTGTACTTTAATTGAAATACATGAGATAGAATAATAATCCTTACAAATATTTAAAATGAAAAGATGAGAGATGATCAGGACAAATGTTTGACCCAGTTTCTAATCTCTCTCCAGCACCCAAACCTCAGCCTGTCCTCTCTGTGTCTCCATCATGGCTGAATCCTGGAGCCTCAGTGACTCTGAGCTGTGAGGGTTTGGAGCATCAACCAGCAGGATGGAGGTTCTTCTGGTATAAAGCTGTTCCTGATCCATCCAAGTGGGACCAGACATCATCCTTCAACTCTGAGCTGCTTCCTGGCAGCACCAGTGGGACTGAGCAGAACTCCTTCATCATTAATGGACCAACTCACACAGCGAGATACAGGTGCAGAGCAGGAAGAGGAGAATCAAACATTTACACTTATTACAGTGAACCAAGGCTGGTCTGGTCTGCAGGTCAGTTTATTTATTTGCTCTCAAAAAAAAAAAAAAAAAAAAAAAAAAAATTTTAGGGTTTTTTTTTTAATTTTTTCCAAAATTAGAANTGGTGAGATTACTGGTAATACAACTGGCCTTCCTTTGCAGTCTGCCGGTATATTTAAGGACCAGGTCTGGGACCTGACTCCCCACAACCCACTGGGCTGTTTTCACCACCCTGGCCATGTCCTTTGTGTCCTGGACTGTGCAGCTGCCGTACCACACAGTCATGCTCTTAATCATGTTTCTGAAGACGTTCTTGAGCAACTGAGTCGGGAGTCCAGCCCTTTTCAGTTTCCTGAGGAAAAAGAGTCTTTGCTGGGCCTTCCTTGTCAGAAAAGAGGTGTTCAGTGACCAGATCAGGTCTGAGGTGATGTGGATGCCCAGGAATTTGATGTTGTCCAAGCACTCCACCACCTCCCCTTGAATCATAGGTGAGTCCACAGTCCTGCTGGACCTCCTGTATGAGGTACAGCCATCCCTTGTTAGATGAGTGGATGGCTACACAGTCGTGGGTAAACAGAGTAAAAAGAACCGGACTAAGCACACAGCCCTGTGGAGTGCCTGTATTGAGGACCAGGGTGGATGATGTTCTGTTTCCTATTTTCACCACCTGAGGGCGGTTAGTGAGAAAGTCTCTGAGTTTGAGGAACTTTCATTAAGTTGAAAGATACAATGAAAGCAAGGCTTAGCAACTCCAATAAAGAGAAAATAAAAAAAACAGAAAAATAAACAGTTGAAAAGCTGGTCCAAACTGAAAGAATAGATTAATAAACTCTAATAAAATATGTTGGGCTCACCATGATTAACATAAGCTCTGCATTAGTAGGTTCAGGCAGAGTTTATGTTCCTCCTTAGTTTGAAAAATTAAGTATTGTTCAATTTTAATGTAGCTTCCTGAAATAATCTGTATAGTGAGGATTTATGTATTGTTCTCAATTTCAAACTCAACAGTTGATAAACCCACAGCCACACTGACAGTAATGGGCAGACTCATACCAGCAGGGGGCAGTGTTACACTGACCTGCTCTGTTGACGGATCTACTGGCTGGAAGTTTGACTGGTTCAGAAATGGACAACAATATCCTGCAGATGGATCCTCTGGAAACACAGAACCAGATGGAACCATCAGAGTCTCAGAGGGAGGAGAGTACAGCTGCAGAGGAGGAAGAGGAGGCCCAGTTTATTACTCAGAAACCAGCAACAAGGTCACAATTTGGAGAACTGGTGAGTTTAGTTATCAGGTCATCACCATAACAGATTATTTTAAATCCCAAAATTGGTCATTTTTCATCAACAACAGATATAATTCTAAATAGGTTCATCTGTGATCATATCAAGATTTTTATTGTGTGAATTTGATCATTAATCACGTTGCAGCTTCTCCAGGAAACAGAGGCATGAGCAGTTTCAAGCCTTGACTTATTTAAAACTGATTCTGTTGAAACGGGCACAATAATCTAATATTACTAACAATCTAAATAAACTTCGTGAAGTAAAATATATTTATTTAGATTAAAAACTTTGAAGCAAAGACATTTTCTTCTCTTTTTTTCATTTTAAACATTTGTTATGTTTAATTTTAATACATTCATGCTGTTTTCATTTTCAAACACTTGAAGAAAAATTATTCCCTTTATTCCAAATTAAATTAACATACAAAAATAGTGAATGTCTAAAGTCCTTTGTAATATTACATATGTTCAGCTTGGCTTTGCTTCCATTAGTTTTCTAACTTGATGTTTCTGTATGTGAACAGTTTCTAATCTGACAGTGATCCTGAAAACCAGCTGGACTCTGAAAGTAGAAACAATTTGAAGTGTAAAAACCAGGAAGGTACTGAGATAATGAATGAATTAAAAATAATAAGTTAGATCGTTCTCCAACATCAGCTATACAGGATCATTATAGCTGACAGGAAAGAATACAGTAGAAGAAGATCGAGCTTTTCTCTTATTTCAGTGGAGCGATGTTATTCTAATATAACTTCAGATAATGCTATATCATTACATTAACTATATTTATGTTATTTATTAAAAACTCTAACCAACTACAATAAACAACCAAGGAACAAATCAACATAAAATCAGCAGCAAAATAATTTATTTTTGGAGTAAAAACACATTTGCCTTGATCATTTGAACATATCTGTATTTTAGTCTGTATGTTATTAATAATTAAATAAACAATCTGTTACTGATCATTGTGTTTATTCAAGAGTTTGAAACCAATCCTCAATTTCTTTCTACCAGAGAGACCGATTTCTTTTTAATATTTTAAAGGATTTTACTAACTAAAACAAACACAAGAGCTCCTGGACAGCTCGAGAGAAATATTGATCAAAATCACCAAGGTTACAGAAAAGTTTCCTCTGATCTTAGACAGCAGGTTTGCTCAATGCATCTGAGAAATTCTGTGAACTGTAGTGGAAAATTCTTGATCAGATATTTCTTTCCTTAGTTTCCAGAAAACCCAGTTTGATCCTGGAACCCAACTGGTCTCAGATCTACAGAGGAGAGAAAGTCACTCTGACATGTGAGATGCAGGATGATGGAGGAACTCAGTGGACGTATGAATGGAGAACAACCAATGGGAAAACTATAACATCCAGTGAACACAAGACCATCACAGCTACTGAGTTTGACAGTGGAGAATACAGCTGTAGAGGATTCAGAGACTACAAGTTAACAGAGTGGAGTGATTCTGTCAGACTGACTGTGAAACGTGAGTCAGACTGACCTCAACTCAAACTGAACATTTTTTGTATTTACTTTCCTTTTTCTAGGAACTGAATTAAACAACAGGAAATGTTCCTGATTAAGGAGTCTCTCATTAAAAACTCCAGTTTCTCCTTGGGAGAACAAAAATAAATGATAAATGGCTAATGGGTGACTTCTGTGAGAAATGTAGGGGGAAAAACAAAGAAATATTTTCCAACTGAAGGCAGTAAGGATGAACTGTGTTGATACAGAGAGAGATGGAGAGTTTAACATCATTCAGCAAACAGAATGTCTTTTTTTAGTAGAATATTTTTGAAGATATTAACCAATGTAACAAGATACAATATTCTGCCTTGGAGCTGAATACTTAAAGGTTTAAGTGTGAACCATCATTTAGGTGAAGCTCTACTGAGAATTACATCTGATTTTGCTCAGACTTCTTTCCTGACTGGATCATTGTCTCATATCGGTACACATAAATAACATTTTAGTCATGTTATACAGCACATGTTTGACTCAGACATGTTTAATTTGTTTTAAACAATCTAGAACCAAGCTGTTGGTAAATTACACGTTGGTCAGTTTGTGACTCTTTTAGTTTGATCTGCTGATGAAATAATCTTCCTGCACCTGATTTTAAATTATAGAGCAGGTTTGAAATTTCACAAACAATAATTAATGTTTGTACAGCTTATAAGAAACATGACAGAGTTCATGTTTTTCCTTAGTTTGACAAATTATGTGGTGTTAGATTTTAACATAGATTCTTTTTTCTTTTTGCTATAACAAAATGCTTCCTGAAATAATTAATATTCTGATGATTTAGTTATTGTTCTCATTTTTCAAACTCAACAGATTATAAACCCACAGCCACACTGAGAGCAATGGAAACAGTCATACCAGCAGGGGGCAGTGTTACACTGACCTGCCATGTGGACGGATCTACTGGCTGGAAGTTTGACTGGTTCAGAAATGGACAACAATATCCTGCAGATGGATCCTCCAGAAACACAGAACCAGATGGAACCATCAGAGTCTCAGAGGGAGGAAAGTACAGCTGCAGAGGAGGAAGAGGAGGAAGAGGAGGCCCAGTTTATTACTCAGAAACCAGCAACAAGGTCACAATTTGGAGAACTGGTGAGTTTAGTTATCAAGTCATCATCATAACAGATTATTTTTACATCCTGAACTTTATCCTCAACTTTTTTCAGGAAACATTTGTCATCAACAACAGATAAAGAATAAATTAATCTCTGATTATATCAAACTTTTTGTGTGTGAAATTGATCATTTATCACATTAACTGCAAAAGACAGAAATATTAATATTTTCTCTCTTTGAATTATTTAAACAGCCACAATAATATATCACTAACAGCCTAAACTGATCTCAGACATTAAGATTCACATCCTGCTGTGAAATATATTAAGTTTAAAATCCTGGTTCCTGACCAGGTCATTGTTCTATATATATTTTATTTTATATTTAAAATATATTTTAGGATTAATTTTAAAGCATTTATAAATGTATTAAAATGTTTACATTTTCAGTTAATTTCCTGTTTTACTCAGCTGAATCAAGTAATATTCCCTTTTATAACAAATGAAATTGACATTCAGTGGAGAAAAAAATGAGTTAGATTATTATCCACAATTTACTGAATAAAGCATCATCAGTGCTGTTGATACACTTCTTAACTACTTATAATAAATTAGTTAATAATAATTTACCATCACAAGTAATCAAGCAACATTAAAATAACTTCAATAAATTATCACAAAAGCAGCAGCTGCTTTTGGACACGTCTATATTTTATAGCAAGTTATTAATAATTTAAAAATGACCTGTTACTGATTATTCTGTGAGAGAAACATTGATCAAAATTATTCAACAAGGTTACAGAAAAGTTTCCTCTGACCTTTGGCAGTGGCTTTGCTAAACACAAGTGATAAATTCTGTGAACTGAAATTGTAAATTCTTGATCAGACGTTTCTGTTTTTAGTTTCCAATAAACCCGGTTTGATCCTGGAACCCAACTGGTCTCAGATCTACAGAGGAGAGAAAGTCACTCTGAGATGTGAGATCCAGGGAGGAACTCAGTGGACGTATGAATGGAGAACAACCAATAGAAACTCTCCATCATCCAGTGAATACAGGATCAACTCAGCTACTGATGCTGACAGTGGAGAATACAGCTGTAGAGGAATCGGAGACTACGATCAAACAGAGTGGAGTGATTCTGTCAGACTGACTGTGAAACGTGAGTCAGACTGACCTCAACTCAAACTGAACATTTTTGTATTTACTTTCCTTTTTGCAGGAACTGAATTAAACAACAGGAAATATTTCTGATCAAGCAGTCTCATACTAAAAGCTCCAGTTTCTCCTCAGGGAAACAGAAAGAATCAACAAATATTTAATGAGTGACTTTTGTGAGAAATGTAGAGGAAAAAACAAAGGAATATTTTCCTTGCATACATGAACCTAAACAGGAGACAATAAAGATGAACTGAGTTTTTACACAGAGAGAGATGGAGAGTTTAACATCATTCAGCAAACAGAATGTCTTTTTTTAGTAAAATATTTTTGAAGATATTAACTAATGTAACAAGATACAATATTCTGCCTTGGAGCTGAATACTTAAAGGTTTAAGTGTGAACCATCATTTAGGTGAAGCTCTACTGAGAATTACATCTGATTTTGCTCAGACTTCTTTCCTGACTGGATCATTGTCTCATATTGATACACATAAATAACATTTTAGTCATGTTATACAGCACATGTTTGACTCAGACATGTTTAATTTGTTTTAAACAATCTAGAACCAAGCTGTTGGTAAATTACACGTTGGTCAGTTTGTGACTCTTTTAGTTTGATCTGCTGATGAAATAATCTTCCTGCACCTGATTTTAAATTATAGAGCAGGTTTGGAATTTCACAAACAATAATTAATCTTTCTACAGCTTATAAGAAACATGACAGAGTTCATGTTTTTCCTTAGTTTGACAAATTATGTGGTGTTAGATTTTAACAGATTTTTTTTTCTTTTTGCTATAACAAAATGCTTCCTGAAATAATTAATATTCTGATGATTTAGTTATTGTTCTCATTTTTCAAACTCAACAGATTATAAACCCACAGCCACACTGAGAGCAATGGAAACAGTCATACCAGCAGGGGGCAGTGTTACACTGACCTGCTCTGTTGACGGATCTACGGGCTGGGAGTTTGACTGGTTCAGAAATGGACAACAATATCCTGCAGATGGATCCTCCAGAAACACAGAACCAGATGGAACCATCAGAGTCTCAGTGGGAGGAGAGTACAGCTGCAGAGGAGGAAGAGGAGGAAGAGGAGACCCAGTTTCTGAATCAGGAACCAGCTACAAGGTCACCATTCAGATAACTGGTGAGTTTAGTTATCAGGTCATCACCATGACAACAAATAATATCTAAAACCTGGATATAATTCTAAATAGATTAATCTGTGATCATGTCAAGTTTTTTATTGTGTGAATGTGATAATAACTTTTGTCAGTGTAACTTCTCCAGAAGACAGAAACATTTACAGTTTTGATTCTTGACTTATTTGAATCTGATCCTGTTGAAACAGACACAATAATCCAATATTACTAAAAACCTGAGCTGACCCCCTGATGTAAAATAGATTTATTAAGTTTAAAACTGAACCCAAAGACATTCTGTTTTTATTTTTTTCATATATCATTTTTTGTTTAATGTCATTCTACTGTTATTGTTTACATATTCACTTGAAGAAAATATATTCTCTATAACAAATCAAGCCTGCTTTTGCTGGACAGGCAAAAACCTGCATTATTATTTGTGTTCAGCTTCACTTTGTTTCTTTTAATTTTCTAACTTGATGTTTTTGTGTGTGAACAGTTTCTAAACTGACTGATCCTGAAAACCAGCTGGTCTCTGGAAGTAAAGACAGTCTGGTGTAAAAAACCAGGAAGTAACTGAGAGGACATATGAATGAAGAAATAATAGTTATTAGATCATTAATAACTAATAATAAAACCCACAAACAACCAAGCAGTATTAAAAATATCCAACAACAATAAAGCAGCTGCTTTACTCTATCATTTAATTTCTGAATTAAATTCATATTTACCCTGATCATTTCAACATATTTAAATTTGATCAAAATGGGTATTTTTGCACAAGAGTTTGAAACCAATCCTTAATTTCTTTCTCAGCTGCTGGCAGAGAGTCTGACTTCACTGTAATATTTTAAAGGGTTTTACTAACTAAAACAAACAGATTTTAAAAGAGCTCCTGGATAGTTTTGATCAAATTCACTCACTAAAGTTAAAGAAATGTTTCCTCTAACTTAAGAAAGTGATTTTACTCACTATAAGTGTTACGTTAAATATTCTTGGTTGTTCTGGTAAATGCCTAACTATATATTTTTCCTATAGATCCCAATAAACCCAGTTTGGTTCTTCAACCCAACTGGTCTCAGATCTACAGAGGAGAGAAAGTCACTCTGAGATGTGAGATCCAGGGAGGAACTCAGTGGACGTATGAATGGAGACCAACCAATAGAAACTCTCCATCATCCAGTGAATACAGGATCAACTCAGCTACTGAGTCCCTCAGTGGAGAATACAGCTGTAGAGGAAAAAGAGAAGGGTTTTCCTGGACACCATGGAGTAATGTTGTTAACATAGCTGTGTGTAAGTTGAAGTAATAATTTATTATATTTCATTTTGTTTCACTAAGACAGAATTTTTCTTCTGACAATTTTAAAACCTTCTTGTTTGGCACTTAAAAAATATTTCAATTGAAATTTGAAGCAAAGTAACAGAACAGCAGAAAAACATCAGAAAACATTTTTCATCCATAAATGGGTTAAATTTGCTACAATGTAAATGTAAACCTTTAATAGTGCATTGATAGTTTATCATGCTTATGCCCTATCAGATATTACATATAACTGTTAGGCATATAAAAGCTTTAAACCCATTTTTTATTAAATTGTATTTTTTTTTATAGATTGAGATTTTCAGGTCGTCTTTGTTAGTGAGTTTTATTCATATGAAAGCAGGAAGAGACCAATGAAAATCTGAAGAACTTCAGAAAATCCAGAGAAACTTTGATCAAAATAAAAAAAAAGTTTAAGAGCTTAAATCAATAAATGTGACTTGGGAGCTGAAATTAAACTCAAAATTTAAGAATAAAACATGAAATTAAACTGTTTAAAATAATAATAATAATAAAAAAACAAATAAAATACTATATCTAACTTAAGTTTTTCAACCTGTTAAGGAAATAAATAAATCTTACATAAGGTGAAACACTGAGTCAATCAAGAACATATCAAAATTAATTTTGATTATTATTTTATTAAGAAATTAAGCAAAGAATATAGCAATGAGTCTCTTGACTAGTCCAAGGAAGTGAAGAAAAGATGAAGGTACATCGGTTTTAATATCCACCAGGCCTCTTACAGAGATTGGAGCAAAAGGGAGGATCCCACCAGTTTCAGTTTACTTCACAACTCTGGATTTTGCACCTGCAGAATGTGACCCTGAATAGTTCAAACCCAGGACAGAAATACCATTTATTATGTGATTCCAGCGAGCTGCCTCCATCATGAAGGTGCTTTCTAGATAAAATTGATTGAAATAAAACAAAGTTTTGACATAGCAAACCAAAGGGAATCTGTTATTTTTTGTACTTTAATTGAAATACATGAGATAGAATAATAATCCTTAAAAATATTTAAAATGAAAAGATGAGAGATGATCAGGACAAAAGTTTGACCCAGTTTCTAATCTCTCTCCAGCACCCAAACCTCAGCCTGTCCTCTCTGTGTCTCCATCATGGCTGAATCCTGGAGCCTCAGTGACTCTGAGCTGTGAGGGTTTGGAGCATCAACCAGCAGGATGGAGGTTCTTCTGGTATAAAGCTGTTCCTGGTCCATCCAGCAGCTCCTACACCTCTGAGCTGCTTCCTGGCAGCACCAATGGTTCTGAGCAGAACTCCTTCATCATTAATGGACCGACTCTCACAGCAGGATTTGTGTGCAGAGCAGGAAGAGGAGAACCAGAGTTTTACACTTATTACAGTGAACCAAAGTTTATCTGGTCTGCAGGTCAGTTCATATTCGTCTCTTTACTCTTATCAAAACAAAAAAATACATATTTTCTACATAGTTCACTGATGGATCATTCATATTATTGGATAATAAACATACGTTACCCTGGATTCTTACTGTAATATTTGCATTTGTTTCATGTGTAACCTGAAATAAATATATGGTAAAAAGTTATGTTGTGTCGATCTTTTGACAAATCCACACAATTGTTTAAAGAAATCCTAAAGAAATCAGCAGGTTGGAGATTAAATCAACAGCTATAGGGCTCAATTAAAACATTGATCAGGAAAAGCTGTTAAACATTTGAAAAAAAAAATCCAATGTATATTTGTAAAAAAAAAAAAATAATTATTTCCTCATTGGTAGTTTATTTCCTTTGAGAAGCCCTGAAATATTTAGAAAGTTTTGAAGCTGAAATAAAAGTTTGATCAACTTGCTGAATTGTTTGCTGTGACCTTTATAACTAGAAACAAACCATTTGTAATGAACCATTTTAAAGATGTTTCTGGTCTCAGATGAAATCCTGTCTTGTTTCCAGATCCTCGTCCAGCAGCTTCTCTCTCAGTGAATCCTGACAGAGTTCAACACTTTTACTATGACCCTCTGTCTCTGAGCTGTGAGGGAAACTCTACTGAGTGGAGAGTGAAGAGGTTTACAGAAAGAGGCTACTTGTCATACTGCTCCATCTGGGGGACAATGACTGGATCTACATGTACCATTAAATCACACTGGTTTGATAGTGGAGTTTACTGGTGTGAGTCTGGATCAGGAGAGTTCAGCAATGCTGTCAACATCACTGCACAGAGTAAGATTTGGTTTATTATCTTTTGTCTTTCTCTAAACATCATAGTGTAAATATACCACAGACTTCATGGAAGATTTTTGACTTTTTCTGCTGTATTGAACAGACTGAGGTTAAATCACAAAGATAATTCATTGGGTAGATTTTGTGCCATTTTTCTTCTCTTTAGGTATCTGGGTTTTTTTTCTTTTGTTTGTTCTTTTTTGTTTGTCCGTTTGTATTTTTATTTTTAATCTCTATTTAAAAGCTGTTCAGAGTAAAATGTAAAATTGATCATCCATGATGTAAATTGTCTGCAGCTAAAATCAACTCACCAGATTAAATCACTTAAAACAGTACAAACATTTTTGGCCTAAAGACATAATTCCAGGATACATTTGTTTTTATGATATGCATTTATGATTGTACAGTTTTCTTCTGTAAGGTACAAACTATTTCTCCAAAATTACCTTAAATTGTGATTTAGTGAGGCTTTATCCATATTCTGCAATTACATCCTTTTAAATTATTTGTTTAAAACCCTGTGCAGTGAACAACAGACCCATGTAATGTTTAACCGATTTTCTGGACTTAAAGAAGCAGATCTGACTGAAGTTTACCTTTCAATCTCAGGTGAACACAGGCTAGGGGATGTGGTAAGATCAAACAGAGAAACTGATTTATCAAAGATCAGAAGAAGATGGATGATAATTTGTAGTAAAAGTTAAGAAATTACTTCATTCATACATATTCCATAATCCATCAACAAATTAATGAAATTTCTTTGCATGGATTTTCATTCATTTGACATGTGTGTAGACAGTTCATTGAATTATATATTACAATTATTACAAGTAACAGTAATAACCACTTTTTGTTTGACAATTCTTTATAAGATTGTGATTCTGACCAATGAAAGCAGACATAAAACTAACTTAGAAATACAACTGAGTTAAAAATAATTTTTAACTCTGGTAGAAATTATATATATATATATATATGGATAGGAAATAGTATTGTCTTTGTTTAGAAAAAAAATCTAACATGTTTAGACCCTTCACAAAATTTAGCATAGAAATATTTTTGGCATTACATAAAAAACAAATAAGTACGTTTTAATGGCAGCCCGGCATTTTGCATGTTTCCACTTGTGTTTTGATTATTTATCTTTGGGGATGACCTCAAGTTACCATAAGCATAATATTTAGCTCTCTTCACATATCCTCTATCAGACTGAAAGTGAGTCAGGCTGGACTGCTCCTAAACCTTTCTTCCAATGACTTGCTGCAGAACAACTATTAGAAGAATTTAGCACATTTTTTAATCTGATAAATGATCAGATAATTATCAATTAAAACTATTTTATTTGATCATTCAGATCATGTAAAATAATAGTGCACAAAAAATGACAACACTTAGCACTTTTGACACAGATTAGAGAAGTTCTTGAACTGAATTTTCTCTGATTGTTTTACAGATGATTATTATGATATGATTATCCTGCTGAGTCCTGTTCATCCTGTGACTGAAGGAGATCCTGTTACTCTGAGATGCAGAAATAAAGATCAACTTCTCTCCAACGTGTTTTTCTATCATAATGATAAACTCCCCCATAATGACAGCAGAGAGGAGCTGAATATCTCTGCAGTGTCAAAGTCAGATGAAGGTTTCTACAAATGTCAACATTCAGGAAAAGATTCACCAAGGAGCTGGATGTCTGTTAGAGGTGAGGAGGAGGAAAATGTTTGATTCATTTTATTCATTAAAACTGTTAAAATGTTAAAGAAGAACAAAATGAACACTAAGGATGTTTTTGTTGCTGATATTTGTCAGTATTTTAGCCTAAAGTCACTTTTTCTTCAAACAGGACATGTCATATAATCTGCAGATCAAACACATTTTTCCTTGCTAATGTTTCTCATTTCCAGTAGCTATAACCAGTCCAGTCAGCTCTTCATTTCCTGTAATGTTCATCATTGGACCTGTTGTTGGAATCCTCCTTATTATTCTGCTGCTCTTGTTGTGGCGCTGCAATCAGTCAAAAGGTGACACATTTTTCTCCTCACACTGGATCAGATTGTTCATAATCACTTAAATTATTCAGATATGGACATTCATTCTCTATACAACCTAGCAGAAAGATGATTGAATAATCAAAATATGTTTATTTTTATCAGGTTTGTGCTGCATCAGGTAAGTAGATAGCATCTCTTTCTTTCTTCCCATTATAAATCATTATTGTATATTTAAGATGCAAATATAATGTATTTATTCTGTTTTCAGGTCAAAGGGCTCAGAGGTCAGAGGCCAGAGCTCCACCACAAACCAGCCTGAAGGTCATGAATATAGATCTCTTTCTCATGGTCAGAGTTTAATTCATGTGTTTTTACTAACAACGATAGATGAACACAATCAGTTCCTCTCTGTGTTGGCTCTGACCTGCTTTTGACCAAAACGCAAACTATTGTTGTTTTAATGCTGATTTAGACAGAATGATTGTTCATTAGCTCAAGATGATTATGTGGCTATAGTGGGAGCAACAGATGTTATGTGAAATGCACTTTGCACATAAGAGCATCATCATGATATGCTGTGAGTTAGCAATATCACAAGGAGATAGCATAGCACTGGCTATACTATCTTCTTAGCACTGACTATGCTATGCTATGAGATAGCATAGCACTTTCCTATCTCATAGCATTATGCTATCTCGTAGCCGGTGCTATGAGATAGCATAGCCAGTGCTATGCTATGATAGCATAAAAAGCATAGCGCTATGCTGTACTATGAGATAGCATTGGCTCATCTCAAATCAAAATCAAATCAAATTTTATTTGTATAGCACATTTCAGCAGCAAGGCATTTCAAAGTGCTTTACATCATAANTTTCCCTTTTTACAGTAAACCCAGGCTTGTTTGTTTTCCAGTTCATTTTTTTTTTTTTTTTTTAAAAAAAAAAAAAAAAAAAAAAAAAAAGTTTTAGAGTTTTTTTTTTAACTTGATCCAACATTAGGAAGAAAAATATATTTCCAATATAGTAACCTAATGAGTCATTCATATTATTGAATAATAATCATGACATATTCTGGATTCTTACTGTAACATTTGTACTTGTTTCATGTTCAACATGACAGAAATATGAGGTAAAAAGTCATTTTGGGAAGATAAATCCTCACAACTGATTACAGAAAACTAAAGAAGTCAGCAGGCAGTCAGAGTGTTGGAAATAAAATCAGCCATCAGGTTTAGAGATGAATAAAAACATTAATTATTAGACGCTGTTAAACATTCAGAGATAAAATCCAACTTTGATTTTGTAAAAGATTAAATAATTATTTCCACTATGGTAGTTTATTTCATTATGAATATTTTAAAGCAGAAATCAAAGTTTGATCAGCTTGCTGAAATGTTTGCTGTAATCTTTATTACTATAGAAACAAACTATTTGTAATGAAACATTTCAAAGATGTTTCTGTTCTCAGATGAAATCCTGTCTTGTTTCCAGATCCTCGTCCAGCAGCTTCTCTCTCAGTGAATCCTGACAGAGTTCAACACTTCAAATCTCAGTCTGTGTCTCTGAACTGTGAGGGAAACTCTGCTGAGTGGAGACTGAAGAGGATTTCAGAAACAGATGGACCGGTGTCCATTACCTGCTCTTACCAGAGGACAAGTACTGGATCTACATGCACCATTAACATATCCTGGTCTGGTAGTAGAGTTTACTGGTGTGTATCAAAATCAGGAGAGTTTAGCAACGCTGTCAACATCACTGCACAGGGTAAGATATACATGTATTTGTTTTTCTTTGACCTATTTTTGCATTTAAAAATCATAAATATATCTATTATTGCAATAATATGTTTAGTCCAAAGTTAAGTCACAAAAATAAATTTTTTTGCAAAGAAAAAAGTTTTTGCCGAGATTCATTTTTATCTTCTATTCCATCATAACTGCAGTTAATGCTTTGAAGTTTGTTCGGCGGTATCAGGATGTTTTTTGGTCTCTATTTTAAAGAGGTAAATAAAAAAATACTATTCCAGAGGTTTAAAAGTAAACATTCAGATTACAATATTAATTTTGTTAGCCTTGATGTAAATTGTTTCCAATCAGTTGATCTGCTGATCATTCAAAGCTTCTTCTTTTGTTGTGTCAGGAAAAACGAATATCAGATTATATTTTGGAGTATAAAACATCCAAAAACATTTTTATTACAGGGAACTTTTAGTTAGACTTGAGCATTTATCATATTCATTTTGGATTGTATTGTGTTTTATTCTTTGTATTGCACATTGCTGTGCAGTTAGTTAGGTTACACTTCCTGTGAAGCACTTTGACATTTGTCTTTGAAAATGTGCCACATTAATTTTTACTAACTACTTTATTCTCCTCAGATGTGACTCACTGTACAATGTTACAGATATTGTACAAACTTGCAAAAGTGGTTTGATGGGTTTTATTTAATCAGTAATGTAACTTTTTAGCTTTACATGGTGATCACTTATTTGATTTTATTTTCAACATAAAGATAGAAATATGATAACGTTAGATTTCTTGAAGAAACAACAAATTATTTCTCTAAAATTTCCTTAAACTGATGTAATGAGATTTCAACCATATTCAACTATCATAACCGTTTCAAATAATTTATTTAACAGTCTGTGAAGTGGACAGAATGATTAAATTAACTTCTAACTATTCCCTGGACTTAAAGAAGCAAATATCTGATAGAGGTTTATCTTTCAAACTGAGATGATGATGAGGAAGATCACACTGATAAACTGATTTATCAGAGATCAGCAGATGATGGATGATCATTTGGAGTAAAAATGAAGAAAAATGTTTCCATTTGTACATCATTTCTAGCCCATTAATCTGTTTGTGAAGGTAGTTTCATCAACCATTAGAGGAAATATTTACAGAGAATTCAATGAAGTACAACAAGTCAATTATAACTTGTTTTAGTGTTTGCAATGAGAATGGATAAATAAAAGTTGGGTCTTGATCCATGGGAACAGACATAAAACCAAATTGGACAAACAATTTAGTCCAAAATCATTCACACACTGGCATATTTAGATTTTAAATTAGTTTAATTCACCAAAAAAATGTGGTTTTACCTGGAGATGAGACCGACATCTCTCAATAGAAAACAAATCATTGTAAAATTAATATAAAGATGCAAGATCATGTTTCATGTTCTTATTTACATAATAGATGACATGTTAAAAATTATACTCTTTTTGGCAATATAGCTACCAGATGGATTTTTTAATTGCTGACCTGCTTTTTGTTCGTTTCCACTTGTGATTTAATGATTTATCTTTGCTGATGAGCTCAGGTCTCCATCATTCGGATCTTTAATTCATTTTTCACAGATTCTCTATCACATTCAAATGAGACTCAAAAACATTTTTTCCAAACATCTACAGTAAAACACCTATTAGTTCAATACATTATTTTCTGTGAACAAACTTGTCTTCATGTGTAGTAAAAAGACAAATGATGAAACGTGACTACAAATGCATTTGTGTTTGAAGAGTTAAACATTTAATTTATGAAGTATAAATCTTTCTTGATCACTGAATTCTACAATGTTGCTGCAATTGAAAGCATAAAGCAGCTTAAAGAAATGTTCTTCACTGAATTTTCTCTGGTTGTTTTACAGATGATGATTCTGCTCCTCTCCTGCTGAGTCCTGTTCATCCTGTGACTGAGGGAGATCCTGTTACTCTGAGCTGCAGAGATAAAAAACAACAACTTCTCTCCAATGTGTTTTTCTATCACAATGATAGACTCCTCGACCGTGGCAGCAGAGGGGAGCTGAATATCTCTGCAGTGTCAAAGTCAGATGAAGGTTTCTACAAATGTCAACATTCAGGAAAAGATTCACCAAGGAGCTGGATGTCTGTTAGAGGTGAGGAGGAGGAAAATATTTGATGGATTTTATTTAGTAAAATAATTAAACTTTAAGGAACAAGATGAAGATCAAGAATGTTTCTGTGGATCTGCTGAAGATTTTTACAAAACAGAGGATGATATCATAAAATCTGTTGCTTTATAAGATTTATTCATTTTTAATGTTCCTTGTTTCCAGCACCTGTATCCAGTCCAGTCAGCTCTTCATTTCCTGTGATGTTGATCGTTGGATCAGTTGTTATAATCGTTCTCATTATTGTCATTATTCTCCTGATCTTGTTGTGGCGCTACAGGCGGTCCCAAGGCGAGAAAATTTTTATGTTCACATTAGATCATATTCAGTCAAACACTTTATTTGTTAAAATGTTTCAAGTTTATTTTAATGGTTCATCATAAATTAAAAGCTGAGGAAAAATCATTAAATGTCTCTTCCCCCTGCAGATTTAAGCAGTAACAGGTCAGTAAAAATATCGGTTCTGTCTTTCTAATCATGCATCAAATAATTACTTTCATTAATGCATTCATGTCTTTATTATTTTCAGACTGAATCAACCAGAGAGCATCAATCCAGATCATGAAGTGACCCAGAATGACGGTTCTGTTTACAGCTCTCTGCTTCATGGTTCGTCTCACTTTAAATATCTTTATGATTAACTGGAATGTTTAATCATTTTATAGTTTCTAAATATATGACCTGAAAACACAAGGCCTTCGTCATGAAAATACATTCTTTGCTGCCACCAAGCGGTGAGAAATGGGAACTACAAAATATTTACTGCCTCATGAAAATGATCTTATTTTCTAATGATGATTTCATGAACAAAGAAAATAAATAATTAAACTCAAACAAAGTGAATCACATTTCTACATTTATGTTGTTTGGGTAAACAAATTCTGACAGAATCGATCTATCGTTGTCATTCTTCAACAGTCTATCGTTAAAATAAAGCTATAACATAGTAATGAAATGAATAAAATTCACACTGGTAACAAATATCAACATCTTGTCAGGAAACATATTAAACTAATCAATCAGAGCTAAAAACATAAACTATTAGAACATCTACTTTGTTTTAAATTGATGTGATAATTTTATTGATTTTCATTTATTTGAACTTTGACCTTGTTTTATTGTCTTTAGGTGACTCTTCCCTCTATGAGACAATCCAACTCAGCAGAACCTCAGGAAACGGTAAAGTAAATGTTTTATAGCAGCTAAAGACGCTGATGAGAGACAGATGATAAAAAATGATGAAGATGAAGATAAATACAAACATTAAATATACAAATAGAGAACTTAAGTACTTATAACAACATATGAAACACAAACATTAAGATGATTAAAACATTTTTGTCAACATTAATTTTCTTTTTGTGTGATTTCTAACTGATTCATCTGATAATCTCAGCAGAGAGGATTCATCATCCAGCAGAAGATCCTGATGATGCTAATGCTAACTATGCTAATGCTAACTATGCTAATGCTAACCCAGGTAACTGCATGTGGTTCAAATGGTTAACAACTACAGAATAGACATAAAGTATTAACTAAAATTAGTCAATACTTTACAATAGTAAAACTAGTAACCAAAACTAATGAAAACAACCAATAAAAAGGTAGTTTGATTCTGCATTAATCTTAATACTTTATTATTATTATTATTTTATTTTAGATTAAT